AAGTATTTAATCCTCTTGAAGCAAATACATATTGAAAAGGACAAATTCATTTAAAGGCCCTTTTTTGCTCATTTGGTTTTACGCTGCTTTTTGCAATATTCCAGCAATATCACGGCAGGGACACCAGAAATGGGCTACAATAATTTAAGAATTGTAAAACTGAAACACAAAATGTCAGATGTTTTACATGAATGAGTACTAGAATTTGTTCAGTCAACATATCCAATTTAGAACTTATGACAAACCTGGACGTATGTGTAAGGATAAAATGTGTTTTTAAACTTTAATCTTTAAACATGAACAAGTTTTGACCCGTCTGTTTTTACAGCTTTAAATACAGGACAAAAATGTTGGGTAATGGAATTGTTCATACTTCGATTTTCATTAATCATTTTGACCTTTTTCACTCATTTCAGAAATATGTATATATTTGTTAATGTCATAAGTACAGAGTTTTCATGATGTTTTAATATTGATATTTCCTCTGGGTGAAAAAGACACTCCCTCCTCCTAATTTGTTCAGTTTGAATAGAAGTTCACATTCATATTTGTGTTTCAGTCGAAAGATTCACAACTATTGACGGCAGTATATATCTCTCAGGGGTGCTATATGTCTTCACTATAGAAGCGTATATGTATCACAGTCTAGAATCTATCAATCATCATGTAGAGATACTTTCATTTAAGTACAACATTAAACTAAGTTGTGTACATATACCTGTATGAACGATATCCAGAAGATATCACGGCCTGAGTAGTGATACGCGTGATTACAGTATCACAGATTGAGATATGAGTATCATTTACCTGGTAAGATGATGTTAGTATCTTCTACGTAGAAGAAAGTATCATCTACGTAGATGTTTTTATCTTCTATGTAGATGTAAATGTCAATCATATAAATTTAGGTATCATCTACGTTGAAGAAAGTATCTTCTACCTAGAAATATGTATCATCTACTGAGAAGAAAGTATCATCTACGTAGAAGAAAGTATCGTCTACGTAGAAGAAAGTATCATCTACATTGAAGAAAGTATCATCTACTACCTGAAATATGTATCTATGTAGAAGAAATGTATCAGATGATAGTATTTAGGTATCATCTCACGTTGAAGAAAGTATCTTCTACTAGAAATAGTGAAATCATCTACCTAGAAAAGAAAGTATCATCTCACGTGAGAAGAAAGTATCGTCATATCATCTACGTAGAAGAAAGTATCATCTACATTGAAATATATCAGTATGTAGAAGAAAGTATCGTCTACTTAAAGAAAGTATGTTTTAAAGTATCATCTACGTAGAAAGAAAGTATCATCTAAGAATAAGTCAAAGATGTTTTATCTTCTGTGTAGATGTAAGTATCAAACACATAAATGTAAGTATCACCTACGCAGATGAATGTATCATCTACATAGATGTTAATATCTTCTACGTAGATGAAAGTAAACCTTTACGTCTGTGGCACTAACATGCTTCCATACTTTACCGAAGAGTCCAAAGGGAGATGTAGTTTGTTGTTAATACCTGACTGAAACTGATCATGTGATATTTCATACTGAATGCTCAATAAAAGCATTTATCAAAATGATATTATTGTTGTCACTATGATTCTAGTGAACTGATTTGTAAATACTGAATAGTCTGTGGTATTTGCTACTTATATCATACGTATACTCGCCATTACAGCAGATACCACAACTTTATCAGGATTATGCAAACAAATGAGTGACTGAATTTGGTTTTACGCCGCTTTTAGCAATATTCCAGCAACATCACAGCAGGAGACACCAGAAATGGGCTTCACACATTGTACCCATGTTGGGATTCGAAACCGGGTCTTCGTTGTGATGAGCCAACGCTTTAGCCACTAGGCTACCCCACTGCCCCTGATTATGCAAGCAAAAATTGACAAACATGAGTGAGTGAGTGAGTTTAGTAATACACAGCTTCCTTTGTTGGGCAGTTAAAAGAAAGACCTTGGGCTTCTACAAATGATAATGCCCTGAGAAATAGTGTTACCCTTATATTAATAATGGTCAGCAGCAACACCAGGTGTTCATGTAAGGGACCAGCGTGTCCTGCTTTACTGTGATCACGTGCCACCCACACAGTTGGGATACAACGTGTTTTGAGTGAGTGAGTGTGTTTAGTTTTATGCCGCATTCAACAATATTCCAGCTATATGGTGGCGGTCTGTAAATAATCAAGTCTGGACCAGACAATCCAGTGATCAACAGCATGGGCATCAATCTGTGCAATTGGGAACCGATGACATGTGTCAACCAAGTCAGCGAGCCTGACCGCCCGATCCCGTTAGTCGCCTCTTACGACAAGCATGGGTTACTGAAGGTTCATTCTAACCCGGACCTTCACGGGTACAAAGTGTTTTGGGATGAAGAGGAGGCAGAGTTATGTTAGCTGCCAGAGTTTTGGCTATTGTGAGGTTTTATCCTATATTTGACTGTTTGTCAGTAACAATCTTCTTCTGGTTTTACCAAGGGTGGAAATTAGTGGAAATCTCACATTGTGTACTACGCTAATTACATGTACTGTTAGAAACATCTCCTTGATCGAACACTGAATCCATCAGTATGTTCCATGTCAAAATTTTAGTTTGATAGATCATCAGAGGCCCAGATAAGCTGTGTATCCGGGTAAAATACGCATAGAAAATTTCCATTTAAGCATTGAAAAATAATTGTTGCGTACCAATTACGCATTAAAAATGTTAGATATGCAAAAAGTTTAAAACAAATGCGTACGGAATATATTTATAAAAATCGCTTGCACAATGAAAAAGACATCGATTGCTATCAAGTTGTACTGTTAGTATAGGTCTAGTGTTGTACTGTCAGTATAGGATGAGTGATTTTTTATGAAATCTTTTCGATTATATTTAAGTTGGTTTTCATTAGGTATGACATAAGGCAGAACATACCTGCTTAGTAAACTTACTCAATGACACCATACTTAGGTGAGTAAAATGACTGAAATACGCACATATTTGAAAATTGTGGGTAACGGAAAATGAAATACCCACTCAACATTCATAATACCCACTCCAAAAAAATACAGTGGGTACAGTACCCACATGAGCTAAATCTTATCTGGAGCTCTGGATCATTGAATCAAAGAAGTATCCAGTTCAAGGTTCTCACTAGGGGTGACTATGGAGGGGGAAACAACTATTGCCATAGCGATAATCTGTTATATTGCAACATACTATTGCATACCGATAATCTGTTATATTGCAACATACTATTGTGATAGCGATAATCTGTTATATTGCAACATACTATTGTGATAGCGATAATCTGTTATATTGCAACATACTATTGTGATAGCGATAATCTGTTATATTGCAACATACTATTGTGATAGCGATAATCTGTTATATTGCAACATACTGTTATATTGCATACTATGTGATATAATCTGCGATAATCTGTTATATTGCAACATACTATTGTGATAGCGATAATCTGTTATATTGCAACATACTATTGTGATAGCGATAATCTGTTATATTGCAACATACTATTGTGATAGCGATAGTCTATTGCGACAAACTATTGTTATATCTATTGCAATAGTTTTTTCTCCTTGAATTGTCTCATTTGAAGTCATTTCCCAAATGAAGGTATTGTTTATATGAAATGAAAACAAGCTGAAGTAATTTCAGTCTCTTTTGATAAATGACAAGAAACTTGAAACCCAGATCATTTTAACAGTTAAAGCATAAACTCAGTGAAGCTGCAAGTCTGCACTCAAAGTGAACGAATCTGGTACTTCCTGTAATTTGCGCTGCACATTTATCATCAGAAGTCAATTAATAAACTATCGATAGTCACACATACTATCGATGCATCAATAGTTTTTCGTTTCTACCATCGATTAATTGCTATCGGAGACTCGACAATTGCAATCCATCGATAGTTCAATGCATTGTTACAGCTATAATTCTCACTCTTGTATTCAACATGTTTAAGGTTCTGAATGGACTGGCACCAGCTCATCTTGCCGATCTTGTGCAGGGCTATGAACCTTAATGATCACTACGATCAGTGGATCAGAATCTTCCACAACCATCTAGATATCATAGAAAATATATGGAGATGGGCCTTTCAGACATATGGACCACATCTGTGGAATAATTTACCACCATGTAACCAAATAACCACCATGTAACCAAATGACCACCATGTAACCAAATGACCACCATGTAACAAATGACCACCATGTAACCAAAATGACCACCATGTAACCAAATAAACCAGGAACATTTAAAGACAACAAGAACCTCTCCATGACTCAAAGCACTTTTGAGCAGCAATTTAATGCTGGACACCAGTGATCTATACATTTTGACTGAATATGCTAAGCGCTTCCATGCAGTTTCATGTTTATCAGTTATGTATTACTAACAGTTACTTGAATTGCAAGACCAATCCTGGTCTATCAGGACTTTATTAAAGTGATACAGCTTTGCATTTGGGAATACAAACCTTCTACAGAGCACATCCAACTGAGGAACAGATTAAACATCATTGAAATTTCTCTAGATTCATCTTAAAGAGAACACGGCACCAGATCTTTGTAATAAGCCATGTGCAAAGTAGCCACTGGCCCACTAGCCTGTGGCTAGTAAAATTCCCCTCGGGCCAGTAAATCTCCAGTCACTGGCCCGACTGGCTATTGAACTTTCATGAGGTCATTTTGTAAATATATCACTCTCTCCAACTTGTTCAGTTATAATACACTTTTAAATCATGGCCTGATATAATGTTCATCATATTAGCAGTTTAATGACTAAACCCGTGTCTACATTTAAATTTTGGGCTAGTGAATTATTTTGTGGGCAAGTAACTTTCAGGCATAGCTAGCCCGACTGGTTAGCAAAATTTGTAAACTATTTCAAACACACTGGTAATAAGTATCCTCAATATTCATTGCGTAAATTTGACAATCTGGATAAACAACAACGCTGTTTTGATTTCAGACAAGGACCACACCAGCAGCAACAGAATGAAGCCTTTGTCAGAATATATGTGGAAAACGACTCCTGACATGTCCTTTGTCCTTTTTCCAGCATCGTCGACTGAGACGTCTGAGTCATTGATGAGAGTGCAGCAGTGTTCCGCCAATCGGTTATATCAGTGTGAAGAATGTGGAAAGACCTTCACTCAACCCTGGACCAAGAAGAATCATGTAGACTCTGTTCATCGGAACATGACCTTCGTGTGTGTTTGTGGGAAGGTCTATAGGTATCGCAGGGCCCTGAAGAGGCACATGAAATCAGGAGGATGTGATCTCAAAATTTGAGGACAGCATGTCCAGTCATACAAGGTGCCACAATTTGCTGTATACAGTTGCCTCCCTTAGGCATGCAAGGATCCTATGTTCCTGGTTATGTTTCTAGGATTGCTAGTCATGCCGATGCTCTTGAGGTGTAAGCAAAGTGCAGAAAGTTCAGAGTTGCTTCCCTTAGGCCTGCAAGGATTCTGTGATTACAGGTTTCATATGTCTCGACTTGTCCCCACCACCAATATTGCCATGCTCAGTCAGTCATGAGTTCCCTCCCTTAGGCCTGCAAGGATTCTGTGATTACAGTTATATGTCTAACTGAGACCTACAATGCACTTCTGACATATAACTCATATCAACGTGAGATGCTGTGATACCTTACTAAAATACTGTTCAAAGGGGATTAACTCATTCACTTTTGCTTAAATGGACTGTGGGCCAGGGTTTGTTGTCATGTTGAGTGATGAAAATATAGGCCTGTCCCAGACAGAACCCTGATGATGAGGTTGACAGGGTTGTCAACATCACATGGAGCAGAAACATGAATATGTGAAAAGTGTAAATAGAAACTAACTGTGTTTGAGAGAAACTTAGGATGTGATGGTTGATTGGATTTTAATTTAACTTTATAGTTTTTATCTATATCCCCGCATTACATGCCGGGGGGATATAGTCGACGCCTCCTCCATCCGTCCGACGGTCTGTCCGTAATCATTTTGTTTCCAGAGCATAACTCAAAAACAGTTCAATATTTTTCAACAAAACGTGGTAGATATATCAAACAGATCCTTAAGTGGTGCCTTTTGCTATTTGCAGATTTTTGGCATTTTTATTTTTCCCCGTTTTCCATGGAAACGTTTTGGACTGAGTCTTAAAGAAGGGGTGGGCTTCGTTTCAATATTTTTCAACAAAACTTGGTAGATATATCAAACAGATCCTTAAGTGGTGCCTTTTGCTATTTACAGATTTTGTGATTTATAATTTTCTTGCTTTCAAAAAGGAGGGATGTCTCAAAAAGGGAGGGATGGATTTCAGATGTATGAGGCAGATCCCAAAGTGGTGCCTTTTGCTATTTACAGATTTTGTCATTAATATATTTTTCTATGATTTCCATGGAAACGTTTTGGATCTAGTCTTAAAGGGAGGATGGAGCTTGTTTCCGAACACAACGAAAAAACTTGAATATCTTTCAGCAAAACTTAGCAGATATGTTAGGCAGATCCCAAAGTGGTGCCTTTTGCTATTTGCAGATTTTTGGCATTTTTATTTTTCCCGTTTTCCATGGAAACGATTCGGACTTAGTCCCAAAAGGGAGGGGTGGGCTTCGTTTCCAAAGCATAACTCAAGAACCGTTCAATATATTTCAACAAAAATTGGTAGATGTATCAAACAGAACCTAAAGTGGTGCCTTTTGCTATTTACAGATTTTTGTGATTTATTATTTTGTTTGTTTCCATGGAAACGTTTTGGATTTAGTCTTAAAGGGAGGGCCGGGTTTCGTTTCCGGAGCACAACTTGAAAACCATTCAATATCTTTCAACAGAACTTGGCAGATATTTGAGACAGATCTTGAAGTGATGCCTTTTGCTATTTACAGATTTTTGGCATTTTTATTTTTCCCGTTTTCCATGGAAACGATTCGGACTTAGTCCCAAAAGGGAGGGGTGGGCTTCGTTTCCAAAGCATAACTCAAGAACCGTTCAATATATTTCAACAAAAATTGGTAGATGTATCAAACAGACCCTAAAGTGGTGCCTTTTGCTATTTACAGATTTTTGTGATTTATTATTTTGTTTGTTTCCATGGAAACGTTTTGGATTTAGTCTTAAAGGGAGGGCCGGGTTTCGTTTCCGGAGCACAACTTGAAAACCATTCAATATCTTTCAACAGAACTTGGCAGATATTTGAGACAGATCTTGAAGTGATGCCTTTTGCTATTTACAGATTTTTGTGATTTATAATTTTCTTGTTTAGTCTCAAAAGGGAGGGGTGGATTTTGTTTCTGGAGCAGAACGCGAAAACTTCTTAATATCTTTCAGCAAAACTTGGCAGATATGTGAGGCAGATCCCAAAGTGGTGCCTTTTGCTATTTGCAGAATTTTGACATTTATGTATTTCATGATTTCCATGGAAACGATTTGCACTTAGTCTAAAATCAAGCTGGACTTTAAGTAACTGTCAGATGATTTGTTCTTCCAAAGATGTAGGGCCCGGGGGGATATGGCATCTTCTGATGACTCTTGTGTTTGTTACAGGAAAACAATGTCACTTGAGATACAATGTCAGTGAGGCTGACCACCCGATCCCATTAGTCACCTCTTACGAGAAGAATTCTACCCCAGATCTTCACTGGTCTGAAAAAAAGTGTCAGATGGTAAATTGAGCCTTTCTTCAGAATGCTTATAGACATAAACGATGTACCTACTCCTTACAGGACAATAGTTTAACCCTTAACATACTGTCATCATCGGACATTTGCTTTTAGTTTTATATTCAGCGTTAAAAACTTCTCAAATGTACCATCAGAGGAAATAATTCTATAAAGATATGTGTACATTCACCTTGTATATCAAAGCAATAAAAAGATTTTTTTACTTTATTAATGTTTCTTTGTTGAGAAGAAGATAGATCTGTATTTCACCATTGTAAGAAATGTATGAGACATGGATCACATCTGGTTTTCCTGACACTTGATTGGTTGGTTGGTTTGTTGTTTAACACTGCACTCAGCAATATTCCAGCTATATGGCGGTGGTCTGTAAATAATCGAGTCTGGACCAGACGATCCAGTGATCAACACCATAAGCATCGATCTACGCAATTGGGATACAATGACATGTCAACCAAGTCAACGAGTCTGACCACCCAATCCCGTTAGTCACCTCTCACGACAAGAATCTTCTCAGGTCCCTGGTTTTCCAGTCACAAGAAGCTGATACAAGGTGAAACTTTACACCCAACTAGTGTTGGGAATTGGTTAAAATCTCACAATTGATGATTGGTTCATTGCAACCGATCAATCATAGAAAATAATTGGTTAGCGTCATTTATCAAATGCCCATGGTTATGTTTTTTTATGCACCAAAAATATAGAAAAAACATGTAGTTCTTTCGGTTTTTTTTGCAAATTGCACAAAATGCATGTACAAATTTCACATCTTAAAGGATGACTAGTATGTTAGGAACATAAATTTCCTGGAATCTTTAAGATAAATTCAATCTTGACTAGGACATTTTGAAATGTAACAGACTAAACCAACCATGTAAAAAATGTTGCTGATGCAAACAGGTGTTCCAAAATTATTTGTGTTCGATTATGAGAAAACATGATCGATTGCTTGGTCGTTTAGTCATTGCGACCAATCTTCGATTATTTCAATTAATCGGACCACCACTACTGTGTGTGTGACGAACTCAGGGATATAATGAAATGTTTGGTTGGTTTGTCCCGATCTCTTGCAGTATGTTTTGGTAAACTAATCATGGTTATTACGAACTTAGATCATTGATCCCTTTGAGTTTGTTTGTAACGGTAGTTTACTGTAAGCAAATTACTGTTGAAAATGAACACTACACTTTTCAGTACCTCGTGCAGATTCGTGGTTAGGATGGGTACAATGTGTGAAGCCCATCTCTGGTGTCCCCTGACGTGATATTGCTGTAATATTGCTAAAAGCAGTGTAAAACCACACTCACTCACTCACTCACTCATGGTTAGGATAGGTCCCCAGTAATAAGTCAAGAGGCAACAAAATGAATCACGTGACCAGGCTTAGTGTCCAGGGCCTAGATTTTCGAAGCTGTCTTAGCGCTAAGATAGTCGTAAGTTAATGTTAATGTATGGCACTTACGACTATCTTAGCGCTAAGAGAGCTTCGAAAATCTAGGCCCTGGTGCCATTGCACAAAACAAACTTAGCACTAAGACTAACTCAAGTCTATGTTAAGGTATGGGAGATACAGTCATCTTAGCGCTATGACTAACTCAAGTCTATGTTAAGGTATGGGAGTTATTGTCACCTTAGCGCTAAGATCGCTTTCTACAACGCCACCCTGGTAGATACTGTTTTAACATGCAGAAATTGTTGTGAACAGGATTGATCACTTGTTTGTCCATACTTCATTACTTACTGGACGCCATCATATCGCTGGAATGTTTCTTAGTGCAATGTTAAACAATGATCAAACAATAAGTACTAGTTAAAGATATTCAGCTCATATCTACCATCTGTCTGTGACAAATACTATCCGTACCGGGGTGGTGGGTTAGCCTAGTGGTAAAGCGTTGACTTGTAATGCCGATGACATGGATTCGATTCCCCACATGGGTACAATGTGTGGAGCCCATTTCTGGCGTCCCCCGCCATATTGCTGGAATATTGCTAAAAGCAGCATAAAACCATACTCACTCACTTTCCATACCATCATACTGCAACAAGCTGCTCTGATGAGTTGACATATCAAATATTGTCTACATCATAAACCAACTTTATGACTTTAGACTAAATCTACATTTAGAGGTTTTACTTTGCAGAAATGGCTAGACGAAAGGGAAATAATGTGGTTCAGGGACTGTGATACAGATGATAAATGTTGACTGAATGCCTGTAAACATTGAACTATTGTAGAGTGAGTACAGACTAAGTCGGGTGGATATAGACTAAGGCTTAGTCTCTGAATATATATAATTTTGATAGTAACAAACAAGCCCATTTATATTGAAAAGGAGCCCTAGAAAGACCAGAGATCCTGAACCTATGTCTTTGTCATTCATATACAAATGAACCAATAGATTTGATTTTTGTTGGTTTCAGATACCATTGGTTCACTCGATGATGAGAAACTGTTCACAGGACTTCATTTCACATCCAGTGAGGAGATATCTAATAGACACACACGTAAGACTGAAGACGGTCTTTCTGTAGCGTTACGTAGAGGAAGTGTTACCATGGGAACCAAGATATCATCGAGCCCCTATAGCTGTGACATGTGTGATAAGGTCTTCTGTGACAGTACCGGCTTGAAGCGCCATAAGGCAGCTATCCATGAAAACGTTAAGTACTACTGTATTTGTGGCAAGTTTTACAAGTACAGAGGAGATCTGTACCGGCACAAGAAGTCTTGTGTCCTCTTTGGCATCAGCTCACTGAAGTAGAAGATAAGGTAAACTCTTTTCATGTGTACATAGGGGTGATGGGACAGCCTACTGGTTAAAGGGTTCGATCGTACGCCGCTGACCCATGTTCGACATCCCAGATGGGTACAATGTGTGAAGCCCATTCCTGATGTCTATTAGGGGATGGTAGGGTAGCCTACTGGTTAAAGGGTTCACTCGTCACGCTGAAGACCTGGGTTCAAATCCCCACATGGGTACAATGTGTGAAGCCCATTCCTGATGTCTGTTAGGGGACGGTAGGGTAGCCTAATGGTTCAGTGTCCGCTCATCCCGCTAAAAGACATGGGTTCAAATCCCCACATGGGTACAATGTGTGAAGCACATTCCTGATGTCTATTAGGGGACGGTGGAGTAGCCAATTGGTTCAGTGTCCTGCTCGTCCCGCTAAAAGACCTGGGTTCGAATCCCCACATGGGTACAATGTGTGAAGCACATTTCTGGTGTCCCCTACCATGATATTGCTAAAAGGCGTAGCACTATACTCATTCACTCACTCACTCTGATGTCCATTTGCCGTGAAATGGCTAAAAGCACCATAAAATTAAACTCACTAGTGGGTTTATTCAAATTTCAGCATGTGCATTATCTTTGAGATATTAATACATCACCTATAAAGCTAATGCCTGTCAAATGGATGTAGTAATTTGGGGAAGAAATAGAATTGTTTTATGTTTTAATCAGTCAAAACAACAACCAAAATGCTTCAGGTGAAAGAAGATGAGATAAAAAGAAAAACTCAACAAAAGGATGATTTACCATTTCAAATTATTTCCAGGTCTTGCAACCAAACCCGAAATAACAATCGCAGATTTGTTAAACTTAAAAGCATTTTGATGCATTGATGAGGAGAAATTGTATCTGAAACTAATTTACCAGTAATAATAAATTCTATTATTGTTAAACTGGGAGCTTTCACTATACTTTTTTGAAGTTATACTTCTTAAGAAAAGTTACAAACATCCTATTCTTTCATATTGCATTACTGTCGTAATGTAATGCCATGAGTAAAGATCCGGGTTAGACCAACCCAAGCTTGTTATAAAGAGTATACACAGGACCGAAAGCCGGATTGTACGCCATTGAAATAAATGCAAACATTGTAGGAGCTACACACAATGACCAAATGTACATATGTTTCCCGATTAGGGCTGGGATGGGTAATAAAAAATGGAATCGAGTACCCGCATGCACTTACCCGAATCGGAATCCAGTACCCGGAAATGTAAGGAATACAGCGCTTCTGTCAACTTCATGAATATTCAATCACGAGTTGGCGGAGATTTTTATAGAAACCTTGAAAGGATGGCAATAAGACACTGAAACTGAACTTAGGTTATTTAATTTACGTCTATTTAACAAATATAGAGAGTAACACCATTACATGCATTCCTCGTTAAAACACAGGACTTTCTGTTCCCGCTGTCACTGTTTCTTGACTCCTCACTGCTCATGCTCAGATATATACAGTCGTTAATAATGACCTCCATTAATCGGACAATACCAATGATGCAAATGTGTGTTACGTCAATAATGAAAAAGACATTACAGAGTTCTCTCCTTTTCCTGGTACTCGATTCCTAGAAATAGTACTCGATTCCAGTTGTACCCGACCCGGATTCGAGCCCTATTCCAGATATTTCCTAACTTCGGGCATATATTTCATACAATGCTATACCTTTGGAACACATGCTCATCATATATTTTCGTATGCACAAGTACATCTATGACCGGATGTTCAGGTATTTCCAAACTTTAATTCCAAAACAGGTACCCCAGCAAATACATGACCATTGAGTATTTCCAATGCATTTCTTTTAATTGCAAAAACTGTTGAAATCTCCGATTTAGTTTACTAGGGTTGTAAACATGGGAATTTCCTAAGGCGGGAAAACATGTGTAATTTTTCAAAGAGTCAAATGTTTACACAACTTAGATATTTATGTATCCTGCCGGATGTCAAGGGTATGTATGTGAACGTTTTTTATATGTTCAAACAAGATGATCATATGTTTCCATCATGCATGGAAATACTTGGTTCATGTAATGTCATTTTCACATATTTTAATACCTGTGAAGGTCCGGGTTAGAATATTGAACTTCAGTAGCCCATGCTTGTCGTAAGAGGCAACTAACGGGTTGGAACCTTCATGAAGCGAAAACAAAGCGTACTACATGAATTTCCTATAAGGAAATTGTACTACGTGGTCACGTGACTATGCCATGTTCCACTGGAAGACTTCCCGGCCAACACAAACCACCTGTCATACTTGGGAGTCAGAGCCAAATAAAAAATAAAGATGGGTCATCTTTACTTATATATTTTAATAATCAAATAGAAGCATGTATTGAAGATGGATATTAGATGCAAACAAATGAATCGTACAAGAACAAGCAATACTTACATAGCTCTAGACTAAGGCTTAGTCTCTGAATATATATAATTTTGATAGTAACAAACAAGCCCATTTAAATTGAAAAGGAGCCATAGGGAGACCAGAGATTAGATCCTGAACCTGGGGAAATCTAGACTTGCTTCGTTTAGGGCTTTAGCACTACAGGGAAGGCTAGGCTGTAGGGAAAATAATGTGGTTCAGGGACTGTGAGACAGACTAACATAGCTCCAACGTTTCAGAAATATTCAGGTGGGGCTGACTTAAATGTGTAGTGTGAGTCCTCGACTTAGACGCAGCATCTACCGAGGAGACAGTAACAATGTGAGCTAGTATATTCGTTTTTGTTGTGTGTGTTTTTTAAAATGGTTGCCACGTGTCGCAGACGTGGTTCCTGAAGGAGTGTATTAAAAGATTAGTGTGCTAATGCTGTCTTAAATTGGACCCTTCATTAAACGAACGTAAAGCGTAGTAAATGAATTCCCTATAAGGAAATTGTACTACGTGGTCACGTGACCATGGAATGTCCCTGGAAGGTCTACCAGTCAAAAACAATAGGCACCTGTTCATCTTATTTTCGCTGAGTCATGTCTACAGTCGGTGTGCCTGTCTCTATGCTGATGTTTTTTCTCCTTTCATAGGATGTCGTCTTTAAAAACTATATCTAATGTGACATTGTTTATAAGCGAAAATGTAAATTCAAATTTTCCCCAAAAACACTTCAAACTATTCGTCCCCCTCCAGTGAGTTACTCCTTCAAATTTGATAATCAAATAAAAGGCATGACTGACTGACTGAGTTTGGTTTTGCGCCGCTTTTAGCAATATCACGGCGGGGGACACTAAAAATGGGCTTCACACATTGTACCCATGTGGGGATTCGAAACCGGATCTTCGGCGTGACGAGCCAACACTTTAACCACCAGGCTACCCCACCGCCCCGAATCATACATGAACAAGCCGTACTTACATACCTCCAACATTTCACCTAAGTCCGATTCAGAATCACAACTCAGAGGAACATCCCAGAAGAAAAGGCATCAGGTTTTCCCCACAAATCATTACTATCCGTTAAAGTTGGTCACCACACTGAATTGTTTTTGACAACAGGAGCCCATATTTACCTGTAATTATTCAGTTGCCCAGAAGTAGCATCTCTCTCGCATCCGAAAAAGATGTCCTCTACCATACAAATGTCCGACAAAATACTTCCCCATAACACTATGTTGTCATCTATCTTTTCCTCTCTGATATAATTTTCACAGAAATATTGTGTCTGGAACGCACCAAACTTTACAGGTAAGTTATTCTTTCATGTCGTAAGACACCCGTGAAGATCCAGGTTACAATTGATCTTCAGTAGCCCGTGCTTGTCGTAAGAGGCGACTAACGGGATCGGGTGGGCGCTCGCTCCTCCCTCACTCACTCACTCACTCACTCCGTAAGGAAATATACTTCTTGATTATACGTTTCACTTTCCTCTAGATATATTTCATTTTTCGTTGTCACTTTAATGGACAGATATACCCAACCTCCTTCTCATACCGGAATGTATGCGTTAGCAACATGACTGACTGACTGAGTTTGGTTTTACGCCGCTTTTAGCAATATTCCAGCAACATCACGGCGGGGAACACCAGAAATGGGCTTCACACATTGTACCCTTGTGGGGATTCGAACCCGGGTCTTTGGCGTGACGAGCCAACGCTTTAACCACTAGGCTACCCCACCGCCCCGTTAGCAACATGAACTTTGCGAAAACAGTGTACGATACTCTGATACTGATACTGTACTGACTATACATAATACAGAATAAGCTCAAATAGCAGCCTGTACTATTTTAGCAGCGTTCGAAATACCTGCCTGCCCGACCGCCCGGGACGGGTTATTTTCAACACGGACTGCCAGATTCTCAAATTCACCTGCCCGACGGTAGGGTTAAAATTTAGACATGTATATGAAGATATCAAGTTCATCATACTTCTGGAAAATGACTTAAATCATTATTAATTCGCACGTAAAAATAAATGATGGATGATAAACTACGTCGCTTGTCAAACCTAAATTATTTGCGGGCAGGTAAGTTTTGGTCAGGGCTGGCAAGTTTTACATCTAACCAGCCCTGTGGTCTGGCTGAAATTTTTGGGAGTTTCATACCCTGATTTCAGTCTCATTATCCCCCGCCGCGCGTTTAGTGCGAAGCGGGGATATAGTATTAGGCTCCGTCCGTCCGTACGTACGTACGTACGAATTGGAATATCTTTAGAACCGTTAACTAGATGTTTTTCATATTTGGTACCTAGGTTCATCACACTATAAGAAAGGGCCAAGTC